CTTTCGTTTCGCCTATCAAAAAGAAGTCAGTCCAGGTCCAGGGCAAGGATGGCGACTCCACCCCCGAGGGGGTTTGCCCCTCATGCGGCGACACCCCCTACGGCCTCATGATCAACTGCAGCGGCTGCGCTCGACAGTACCACAGCTCCTGCGTTCCGGACGGGCAGAAGGTGGGCAAGGGGCTGGGGGCGACTGTGTTCCTCTGCTCCAAATGCCGCAGCAACGAGGGATGACTACCCGCCCAGATTCGGCTACGTACGTTACCAGTTCGTAGTCTCGAAACCGGGAAAAACTCATCATTCGTTTGATTCGGGGCTAGCGTGGAGGCGGTCAGCCAACATCTCGCTGCTGTTTCTTCTCTATGGGGGTAGCGCTCTCGTAGAGTACGAATGGAATTATTGGTACGAGCACTTGTTCTATGCGGCATTCCCGCCAACGAATCAGACGGGGGGGGGGGGGGATGCACATATTGTCTCGAACGCCGTCATCCTTCGGAAATAGACCTCGCATCCCTTCAAAGCCCTGCAGGAGGAAATCGGGGGTTCGCCGAACAGACCGAAGCATCGTGTTGCATGTGGTGAATCCCGTGCAGGGCGGGGTAGGGGAGGGTCGTTAGACGGAAGGCGAGCCGAGCCACCGTTCCCTGCGTTTCAGCCGAGACGCATGCGATTGTACCGTCAGTTCCCGGTTGAGACCCGCTGATTGGCCCGGTTTCGTTGCTGCAGGAGTGGGTGGTGGTCTCCAGGGAGAGTGCTCCAGATAGCCCATTAGTCTAGTGTGCGTAACGGCCGCGATGTGCTCGTGTGCGGATTCAAGACGACGTCGGAAGCTCCAAACACGTGCACTTTGGATGGCATTCGGTCGTGTCGCGCCTGCCTACCCCCAAACGTTCTGCTGTGTATGAACGGGTAGGCGGGTACAGCTTGGTTTAAGGGGGCTATGTAGTTGGGTAGGCGTCCGCGAGAATCTGCAAAGGGTACGGTACAGTATCATACATGATATCAGGCTTGAGTGAGACTACAAGGCAGCTTCGTGTGAAATCTTCTGCGGTCATGTAGTCAGTTACTTTCGCGAAGGTACCCGGGTGGTGTGAATCTTCTTGGATACTTTGCAAAGGAAGCTCCCCGAGCGAATTTGATTCATCGGTAAAATTCAACTTTCTATGACTGGGGCTGACTGGGGGTGCGTGCGGAGTCTGACATGAGTTCTACACTACTCGTATCGTAGGAAAATGCAAGTGAATATCAATCAAAATTACGTGCAATAGAGACGGTCGCACACCACAGTTCATGTCTGGGGTACTCTACATCTCAGCTCCTGGAGACTACGTGGTTTGGCCGTGCTGTATTTTCTGTCCATAGCTTCATGTAGGAAGCACGTGTCTACTGTAACCTACGGCAAGAAAGAACGCCCTAGTTGTAAGAGGAACGATCGGCGGGCTGGAACGCGTTCACACCCGCACCTGTACACCCTATGGAGTCCCCGACGTTGTCGAGGTACGGATGAGAAGAAACTGTTCCCCAATTCTCATACTTCAAGATCGCTTGGGGGGTGGGTGTGTCGCCCATATCACACCGTCGTGAAACTGCGTCTAGAAATGGACAAATTTTCTTCTTGTTTGGAAAAGATTATCTTCCAATGGAGGCAGTTGTTCTGCCCAGACACCCTCTGTTCTACGAGGTGCTGTTTAGCTAGTACATATTTTCAAACGCCTAACCACCCCTCTCTCTGGCTACAGGAGGGGATTCAAATCCGAAACCCGACGTTGGACGTGCATCGCTGTCCCCCACCCTCAAACCAATCCCCCCACCCTAGATCGCGGCGGGGGTGAATGGAGATGGGGGAGATTGTGAGCTGAAACGATCTTCTGAGAGGATAAATCTCCGTACGCGCATCACCCCTCGCCTTGCCGCGGTCCACACCACGACGGACGCGTGCGTCGCAAACCCTGATACGGCGAGGGCACGGACAGGGAACAAAAATAATATGCATAACTAAAAATCTTGCTTTCCTCAAAGCATTTTTACCACAGACTACGCAACACGTTTTCGAGACGGTGCAGGAAAAGGAACAGAGGCGAGGGCGTTAAGGGCGGGGTACGTGGGTGAGCGATGTGCGATGGGAAGGCGTGGTGGCCGTTTGGACGGTTTCACTCCAGAGAAAATGGGACCATCTCGGTCATTTGGGCGGGAGTGTTCCAAGGTGAGAGGGAAGGTACGTAGGAAGGGGGCGCTTGTCATTATTGGATGGGTAAATATGTTCAAGCTAGTCACAAGAGCCACCGCTTCAATCGAAACCCTACAGAAGCCGCACTTGTTTTCGTGTAGTGCCGAATATGCCTCTACCCTGGTTGGTTTGTGTGATTCCAGTGGCGTGCATGCATTTCTCAGATGTTTGGAACCCGTTGGCATGTAGGGTATTGTTGACTGCTAGCAACAACCTTCGCCCCGTTGGATGCCATCGGCATCCATCGTGCGCACGGATCACCAGCGAAACAACATATACAAAAATAGCGAAACAAGTGGCCTCCTGTTCTTGTTTCTACACGTGCTTGATATCTTCGTGCTTACCGCACGAGGAACGGGCAATTGAAAATGCAGCCTTCCGCGAATAGGTCAAAATCTTCTCCATTTTCTCGAGCCTCTCGAGGACAATATCACTTGTCAATAGAGACAGGTCGCTCCCTCCGTCGCTGCCACTGCTCATGTTCAGCGAGAAGGACGATTCGGTGCTATCGCTACTACTGCTGCTGCCGCCGCTGCTGCTGCTGCCGCTGCTGCCGCTGCTGCTGCTGCCCCTGCCGCGGCCCCTGCTGCCCCTGCTGCTGCTGGTGCTTCTGCTCCTGATGCGACTACTATTGCTTCTCTCTAGATGGTGGCCAGGACGGCCGGAAAAGAAAACCGTATGAGGAGAATGGTCCGGTGAAAAACAATGGTGTCCCCTAAGACAATCAACGTTGATATTGCCGTTTCTGCACTGTTAGACTATTGGGCAGCAATCCGTCATGACCGACGCAACTAGCACTACACCTCTGATCGGCTTGAACAGTACAACCATTTTCACCTCACGCGACAAAAAACGTTCGCAGAAAACACGACGAGAAGGGGGGCGAAAGCTCGGCACAAACAATGTCCGGTAAACCACCTTTCAGTTCAACGAGAGGTGCTACTATCTCTGCCTCTTGTTGTTCGTTCAAGAACACCCTTTCACTCACCAGCACTGTGCGGTTTGGTGAGTAGAGCCATTTCAACGTCGTCTCCCTCGCCAGGGTACGTAAGCGAGGACGACGTGCTGCTCTTCATTCTCCTCCTCGCAGATCTCCTTGTTGTCTCAGTCCCTTGGATAAACAAGCGGCAGAGAGATCACCATGTTCAGAACTTTGCAGCAGCTCATACCGCGTGAGGAAGGACAAGTAAAAAACATTGCACACATTTGCCAGATGTGGGCAGGACAATCGAGGCCTTCGGACTCCTATTCCTCATTCCAGTCGCATTGCTATTGACACCCTCTCCTTGCGCTACTGTAGGATATTGCAGTGTTCCCGTCGAATACCGTTACTTGCAATTGTCGTGCCTCCTCCTCGCCTCTCTTGGAACCCTTCTATGGTATCACTACAATGGAAAGGCACCCACAGAAAAATGGCCGGGCCACGGGCTGGGCCAACTGTGGGACATGTGCAAAACGATGCAGGGAGTGTGCCCACCCCTACCTCGTGGAGGCCGTCGGGCACGCCTAGCTTGCCGCGCGGTGAGGGCTTGAACCTCGCCCGCTAGCATCTTCCGGCCTTCCTCGGAAACCATCATTCGTCGGAATCTCATCTCCATCGACGCCGTCCAGCTATCTCCGCTCGACGAAGATGTGTGTGACGACTCCGTTGAGGAGGAAGAGGAAGATCTTCTCTCGTCATCGTCGCTTCGGATGGAACCTCCTTGATATTCAGGTTAGTTAAGCGGGATTGTTGATAAGGACAAGGCCCGGAGTTGGGGCTGGGTGCCCGACAGCATAGTGTCGACGAGAGATAAGGTCAATGGACACCGATAACCCTCCATGAGGCTGCCCAATTCGTGCAAAAATAGTGAAAAAGACCCTGATACAATAGATAGGTCAGGGAAACGGCAGGCTAGGGTCTCCATTATGCTGACTTGGTCCACCTGGTCTACGCAATTTTCACTACAGAAGGCTCACCCGACATTGAGATCGACGCAGAGGAAGTCGAATCAGTCTCCGACGAAGAACTCGTCGACGTGCCACCTTCACGTGGCACTCCTCCTCCTCCAGTAGACGAAGACGGTGTCGAGGACGTGCCGGAGCTGCCGCCGGAGCTTGCGCTGCTCCTGTCGCTGTTACCCTCATATGAGAAACGCCGCAGGCCGGTGCCCGCGCTCTTGCTGTTGCGGTCATCGCCGCCGGCCGTTTCGACCAAAGTTCCCGTCGGCCCACGTGCCCAGACAGACTCTCCCGTCGTGCGATTGCTGGTCGAAAGAATAGATACATACTAATGAATTAACAGTTAGTTGTTGGTGCTCTAGTCTACCGATTTGGATCGAGAGTTAAACGAACCCGAACTATGGTGGGTCCAGCCGGGACAGCACTCTGTCTGCGCACGGGTCGTGATTGTTGATGCTGGTGCTGATCTGCACTTCGCCTTGCCGGGGGAGCTTTTGTGAAGGCTGACATACTGTCGGGCGACCACCTGAACGCCGGCCATACCAGGCAATGTGGCCGGCGTACGCAAATGCATGAGTTCATGTCGGCCCAATGAAGAAACGACTTGCACGGTGTTTTCGTGGCCTTACAACAAAACTGTTCTGATACGTGTCCATTCAACATGTTTCTTGGTACGTTCTTCCTTCCGTGCCCTTCAACGTGCCCACAGCAAAGGTCGTCTTCCGTTTTCTAAATGCTGAAGACTTACGTATGTACCGCTGTGCACAAGTCATCAGGCCAATTCTCGTAGAATGAAAAAGTATGAAGTGACACACTTGAGTGACAATTACTGAATGAATGGGTCAGACGGACGTACTAGTAGAAGGGCAGTCCCGTTGACGAATGATGGAGCTGCCAGCCCCCAGCACTGCCGTCCTCGGAAGGTGCTGTCGGCCTTGGCGGCTCCCTTCCCCGACGCCGAACAGGTATGTCGAGATGTCGTCTTCGGCCGTGGTGGTGACCACTGTGCCCCTGGTTCTGATGCTGCTGGTCCTCCCGCTCGTCGTGATGCTCTTGGGGCTCGTTTTGGTCACACAGGTGCATGTTTTCCCTGGATATATGTATCGTGAGCAGCAACCAAGCATGACAGCGATGGCACCCGTTCACGACGAGTAAGAAGGAAGCAGGCGGCAGGACGAAGTTCGAGTTTATGGTCTTGCCGGCCTCAACCCTGACTGCAAAGACATCGACATATCCTTTCGAACGGACTATTGTCTAGAAAGGGTAGCCTTTCTTTGACGATATGTTGCACACTCTCTAAAGAAGATGACACCTATGCAATGTCTACAATAAAAGGAAGATTGTTCTGATTCCTAGACTAGTGCTTGTAGTGTCGACGTCGAGGTCGAAACGACCATTATTTCGTTTGAAGGGACTTCACCATGCGTGCCTTCCCTTACAACCCGTACCTATTGTCTGTTGAAGGTTATGAGGGTCTCGTTGGAAGGCTTGTCGTTCACAAACGGCTCCGCTCTCTTCTTAACTCGCTTAATTCAGCATGTGGTTTGTAACGTTGTCTCACGCGTATGCACAAGATACGAGTAAGCACAAGATACGACGCGGGCTGGGGGCTTGAAACTGTCACACCGAAACGTGTGAGGGACTCCAAAATGCATCTGCGGAGCCCCCTTTGACTCATTCCCCCGCACTGTTACCAAACCAGAGCCGTGGAGCTTCCGTGCAGTCAAGAACGCCCAGTGCCGTGGTAAGCACGTTGTCTAGGGCAACCATATCAAGTGAGCATGGCTATCTTGATATCCGGGCGCCGATGCCTGCGTCTTTGCTGTGTTGCAGTGGTTCTTCTGGCGGGGCAGAGGCACGCGGCTTTGGGAGACGCTGTTGCTTCGGCGGAAGCCGTGGATTCTTCTTCGAAGGTGTGTGGGTGTTTTGGGGACGCTCGTGTGTTTGGAGTTGGGGACGCTCGTGTGTTTGGAGTTGGGCGTGTGGTATGATGCTGCAGGAGTGCTTTCGGTTGCTGTTTGGTGTGGAGTAGAAGCGATAGCAAGAGAGTGGCGGGCGCAGCTGCTTGTGGCCCTGCGGGATTGTTTGGCTTCGCGCGACAACCGAGAGAGACGGGTGGGTGAAGCGTGTGCAAGGTCGACTCTCTCCGCACCACACCTGCTGCTGCTGTTCCCGAAAAAGCCGGAGGGCATCATTCCTTGTACTGCTGTAAGCGTAAGGGCAGCAGTAAACGGGAGAGCATCGTGAGAGCGGGTCCGTGTAGACTCCGCGCACACGTTCACGACCCCGCCCCCCCCTCCGTGCACGATTCGACGGAAGAACGCGTGAATCTGGTTTGGTGTACACTCAAAACTCCCGGGAAGAAGGCAAAGGCGGAGGGTAGGAGTATCTGCGTGTATGCGTAGGGTCCGCCTGTGTGCGGGTGATCCGGCGAGGTGATCCGGCGAGGCAGAGGCATATCTAGGGTCTCCTTGGATATATGCAAAACAAGTTTTGAGCGCCATGCCTTGGAGGGTCCCAGCACTGTTCCCGACTCTTCTTCTCATCGAAACGGCGTATTTCGTGTATTCGTGTGCATACACCTATGTGAAGACAACAACAACAACCTCCGTCTCGTCACCGCAACAAAAGCGGATGAACTAATAATATACGGATGCATTGTTAATTATTAAGCTACGGTTGAGGAGGTTGGCGGGCTGGAGACGACACCATGGGGGGTAAACACTGCACTCCCGCCCCGCACCCGAGCAAAGAGTAGGAGCAGAGTAGGAGTTGCGGTGAATCCAAACCTCTCGATGTCGTCGCACACACGTGTGCTTCTCTTTCACTTCCATGCCCGGCAGTGTTTCTCTTTCGCTCTGCGTTGTCCTCCCTGTCAGCGGACCTACTTTAGTTCCTAAATACAGCAGTGTACAGAACACATGGCAACAGGCGGGAGGACGATCGTCTGCCACAAGTTGGAATCATCCTGTCTCCTTTTACTGCACCTTTTCACGACACAGCAGTACTGCTGTACAACCCTTCGTCCAGTGCTTGGAGAGGGGGGGGGGCGATAGAAAGGTTGATTGGGATTCTGCTCCATGCACCCGTTCACAACGGCAGTACTGCTGTTCAGTCTGTGTTGGGAAACGGGGAGAGGTATGCATAGAACAGCAGTGGTTGGATGATGCTCTGCCATGCTCACTTGATATATTACGCCTCGCAAGCGTTGGCGACGTCCTCACAGTCCCGGTGGATGCGGGGGTACTCAGTCCACTTCCCCAAGTGCGGTCTCTTGTCATCCAACCACTTTTCTGCTGTACCATCCCCCACAACGTCCTAGGGTGTGTTGTCCCCCAGATCCCTGGTTATTTTCGTGCACTGAACCCTTGTTTTCCCTAAAACTCCTGCCCCCCGTTTAACCGCCTCCCCTTACTCCTCTCGGCCGCTGCGGTTGTGTGGGTCCACGGCAGGATGCGGATGCAGTCGGCGTGGCCCCTGAGAAGATGTGAGTTGTTCGTACACGTCCCATTTTTTCGTTCTATTGTTAGCGAGGGAAGGTCTTCGAGGATATTGGATAAATGTTATCTTGGTTGTAGCTGGGGTTTCGGGTTAGCTACGGACGGTATTCGATGATATTGGATATTTCGGGTTGGGGTTGGGTGTTTGGGGTAGGGTTACGAAACCCCCCCTTCCCTACTTCGCGTACCTTAGGTGACATGACATACCACACCCCTTGAACCGGTTTTCGCAGCTCGGTTTCTCCGCAAACAGGACGATTGGCAGCGCCGAAAATGGCGGCGTTGGAAGCTGTCTCTTCGAGAGCTTTCCGAAAACGTGTCGTTCCATTTGAGTATCCTCTTTGGTCGTGGAGTAATCGAGATTTGACCAATGGTCCAGGGGGTGTGGTATCTGGTGTCACGTGCGGAACACAGTATACGGGGTTGGGCTTGGGTGTTTGGGCTAGGGTTGCAACTCCCCCCCCTCTCTGTTTCACAAATAGCGCTTACTTCTTCTTCGAGAAGACGATCTGGCATGGCGGTGGCTGCCGGATTGGTTGTGTTGGGTGGCGGCGAACGGGCGGGGTCTCTCAAAGCTCTTGATGAAACTCGCGAAATAGAAGGGGTCGTTACGCATGGATGTGCAGGATGTGCGCCAGTACCCCAGAACCTCTTGAGGTTTTTCTCTCTACTGCTGTAAGGCTCGGGGTCCAGTCTCCTCCATCGAGAGAAACCGTTCCTCCATTCTCTCTAACATCGATTTTTGCCGCGACATGCGATTTTTTTCTCCCTTACTTACATCCGCACGTCCTTTCACCGATTCAGAAGTTTCCGCAGCCGGCATGCTGTGCCGTCTTGTTGTTACTGGTGTGTGCTAAATGCCGATGTCTCTCAACGTGCTGCCCGATGCCAAACAGCTCGGAGGCGTGCGTGGACCCGACGCCGATGCTGGAGGCCCTAGAGCTAGCCAAGGCCACTGTTCAGGGCGAGCTCGACGACTGCGAGGCCAAGCGACTCGGCCTCGACCGCCTCATGAAAGGGCTGGAGGTGTGTGTTGTTGTTATTGTTGTTGTTGTTATTGTTGTCTTCACACTAGTAACCATTCCGGTCTCCACCAAGTGCCGTCTAATACCCACACTGGTCCAACTGACGCTGGCGCCTCACGTGGCCTCAGGCCAACTGGAGGAGCACCCGCACATATTTCGGTGTGGTGCATGTTGGGTGTTTTTTTGCGCTTTAGGTAAGCGCTGGGCCCTGGCGCATGTCATCACTCGAATCGTCTTTTTCCTTCGACACGTCTACGTTGAGTATCAACTTGAAAAAAAGGTCTGGGCACGGTGTGCTGCGGTTGGTTCGGGTTTCGCGCCCGATGCGTGTGTTCTCCTGCACTTACATTTTGGATGGCGAAACTATGTCGATCGGAGAGTGTGCGTATGCTCCAAACCTGCGCCGTATTCTGGACTTCTGCCAATGCTATCTGGGGACGCTGTGTGGTTGTGTGTTTCGGAAAACAGTTTTGTCTTTCTCCGCCCCTCGCCCCGTGCCCTCTCTCTCGCACACACACTGGCAATGTCAGTGGGCCTCGCGGATCGGGCGGCGTGCTTGTCTTTTTGGTTTTGTTCGTGCCCCTCTTGAACCGACTTGTCGTTGTTACTGTAGTTTCGTTGACCAGCTACATGATTAGTTTTTCGCATTCGATGCTTGATTTGTGGACGAAACGCGTGCATTCAATCACACGCACGCACACACACATGCAGCCGAACCGTGACTATCGTCTGTTCTTTGGTCAGCCGGTTGGCCCGGTCGATGCTAAACAACGAAGACACAAAACCCACACGCACGGACACATGCACACGCAATCCCTTCCTTTCCCGCTAACCGCGCATCCCCCCACACCCAACCCCACCCATCCCAACCCAGCGCTACCCAACCCAACTCCAACCCTACCCAACCCTCAACCTAACCCAAACCAACCCAACCCTACCCGACTTTGCCCAACCCAACCCAACAACCCAACTCCATCCTAATCCAACCTTACGACAGGCCACGGTCGAGAAGCAGTCCCAGGTGCTACACGCGGCCGGTGGAGAGAAGGGCATCCGGGAGCTAACGGAAGTGGCCTCCTCGGCGGGAGACGCGACCGCTCTCCTGCAGCAGGCGCGGGCGGAGGCGGCAGCTGCTAGGGAGGATGCGGCGGCGGCTAGGGGGGAGGTTGAGGCTGCGAAGCAGGAGGCTGAGGCGGCGAAGGAGAGCGGGGCGAACGCCGGCAGCGAGGCGGCCGCCGCTCGGGAAAAGGCGGCGCAGATGGCGGCGGAGAAGGTGTGCGTGGAGATTTGCTGTTGTGTGTGTCGTAGCACACAGTGGTAGTTTCTGTTCCTTGCTTTGCCACACAGCAGTAGTTTCTGTTGTCTACCTTGCACACATTAGTTTATGTTCTCTCCCTTGAACACACAGCAGTGCTGTCTGTTCTCTGCCTTGCACACACACGCGTTTGCGTCTTGGTTGTGTTGTTCTCCCCTGCACACACGCACACCAGAGGAGGTTGATGAAGTCTGGGAGCGTTCCCCTATGTTCGTCGCTCAATGCTTCTGCGTGACAGGACCTCAGTGCATCGGCGTGGTTCAAGCTTCACCCCCCGTGAGGACTAAACCTTGTTTGGGGAAAAAACATGCCCCCGCCTATCCAACACATTTTTTTATTACTAGCAAGATGGTTGTGTCAACACTTACAGGGCTTTCAGACTAAGCCCGTCTGTTGCCTTTTACGGTAACGCGGATATGATGGTCATCACCATCCGATAACGGCTCTACGTCGCGGTGTCTTTGGCGCGTTCTTTCTAGAGGGTGAAAAGCCACATTGTGTTGCAAACGATCTCGCCGGTGCTTTCACCGTTCGGCGTTTGCCCCATGGGCCGGGTACACGCACCACTTTTTATTCCCGTGCATGATTTGCATCGCGAAGCCGGGGGCGGTGGAGAGCACCTGACGTTCTCCGTTGCAAATAGTAGACTGAACCACTGCAGCCGCCTGTGGGTGAAGGCGGCTGGCGGCTTCTCAGAAGCAGAACCAAAATGAGGGGAAAAGAGGTGGTGCTTTTTTTTTGTTGGTAGCGGAAGGTAGACGCCGCCAATGGCGTAAGTCCGGAGACGGTGGGATGGGGGCCTGTCGCTTCTTGGCTGAGGGGGGCAAGGCGTGCCGTATTCAGGGTGCCTCCTGTTATGTCTTCCTCCGCTTCACGCACTCACGCACAAACCTCAAATTTTGTTAGTATGCGTGCGTACAGTCCCTGGAGTGATCGCCCGTTCTAGATGATGCGGCTGTTGCTTGCTGTCTCAGCCGGCGTGACCCCCCCCTCTCTCTTCTTGGCCCTCTGTATTAGTCGTCCGTCTCCCTTTCTGACGTGCTGACGCGATCCCTTCTCATCTCTATCTCTCAAATCTCTCTCGACAAAACACGTCGAAACCCATCAAATTTCCAGGAAGCTTTGCAGGGCAAGCTCGACGCCGCGGACAAGGAGCTGGAGACCCTGAGGAACAATCTTACCAGGGCGGAAGCGAAGGAGTCAAAGGCGAGAGAGGAGCACGACATACACGCGCAGGAGATGCGGGGGAAGCTTGAGAGGACGGCCTCGGAGGTGCGGCGTGGCTGCAGTTTTTTGCGTGGCTGTGGGCAGCTGTCTCTTTTTTGTCAGTGTGGGTTTGGGCGGTTTGTTGTCTTTCAGAGAGTGTATCGGCATCACTCGTATTATTCAGTATTGTTGTTGTTGCCTTCACGTTAATTCCGGTCTCAATTATCCAACGTGGAGGTGTAACTAGGACTCAAAATAGGCACGTATCCAGCTGTTTTTCTCCCTCTCGCTGTAACGACTTCATCACTACCCGTTCGAGATATGACTATAGTCGAGGGGGGGGGGGGGAGGGGGGGGGGGGACTCATAATCGTGCATGCCGGAATCCTTAGACCATGGAA